CTAAGAGGGTATATCTGAATTCTTAATGACTGAACCATTTAAAAATAAATAAATAAATGTAACATTCATGTAGTGTGTATTATGGTAATAACTTTGAAAAATGCATGTGCTCATGTAATGCTTTCTACGTGCAGTACAAATTTCATGTATGAGGTACTCTCTAATGTGTTTGTGGTGCAGTACACATTTCTCTAATGTGTTTGTGGTTGCAGCATTGGGTTTGGAGATCTCAACATGGGACTATGATACAATAATAAACTCTTAATCTCTATAAATTCAGCAGACAGTACAGGAACATTTCTTAAGTATATGTGGTGGCTCTTAAAAGAGCCGTTGTGTTCGTTAATGTATGTTGTGCGTCTCTACTTCTTTTTTTTTCAAGATTCTGAAGCCAAACACTTTTTTTTTCTTTCACTAAAAGATTGTTGGCAGTTGTCATCATAGTCATGTCTTTTTTAAGATTAAATTTAACAAGAAGAAGGAGCACAGACCTCTGTGTTCTATAAGGTTCTCAGACAAGATTTAAAGAACCCTGAATTTGGATTTGGAAGTACCCTCCCACATCATCCTCCCATCCAGGAATAATAAATATTAAAATTAAAAACAGCAGAGGGCTAAGAGCTGAGCCTTGGGGCATGCCGGCTTCTGGTGTAAATCTGGTAGAGGTTGATGATCCCACTCTCACTGCGATCTCTCTTTGATTTAAAAAAACTGTTTAAAAGCACCACTGTTTGTTTGGGGAGTTGAAAATTGTCATGCCACATCTTATCAAAGGCCTTTTCAACATCAAAGAAAACAGCGATTGTCACCTCTTTTTTATGAAAACCTCTCTGTACATCTTCTGCCAGCCTTAGCATGTTGTCAGTAGTATTCATTTTCTTCCTGAATCCTGCCTGGTGGACCCCCAGGGTCCCTATGGTGTCAAAATGTGTCTGGAGTCTGTCAGCCAGAACTTTTTCTAATAGTTTTCCGAGATTGCTCAAGAGGCTAATAGGCCTGTAGTTGATTGGCAAGTGGGGGTCTTTATTTGGTTTGGGAACCATAACCAAGTTTGGGAAAGTAACCAAGAGGTTTGAAAGTTCTGTTAAAAATTCTGCTGAAGCTTCTTTGATGAGTCGATTGTCCACTTTGTCTTCTCGGGGGGCTTTGGTCTTTAGTCTTTTGAAGTGTTGCTGGAGTTCCATTATTGTGACTGTTTTGGTTAGTGAATGATTGGACAAAGGGAGCAGCATGATGAGGATCATATTCTTGGATTTCTCTAGCGCCTTTAATAACATCCACCCCCTCCTACTGAGAGACAAGCTGACTGAGATGAGGGTGGACTCGCACCTGGTGAGATGGATCACGGACTACCTCACAGAGAGACCACAGTACGTCAGATTGAAGGACTGCACATCTGACACTGTGGTCAGCAGCATCGGAGCACCACAGGGTACGTGCTCTCTCCTGTCTTGTTACCCTGTATACCTCTGACTTCCAGTATAATTCTGAGCTCTGCAGAAATGCTCGGATGACACTGTGATAGTTGGTTGTGTCCGAGATGGACAGGAGGAGGAGTACAGGAGCCTGGTAGGGACTTTGTGACGTGGTGCAGTTCAAACCACCTGCAGCTGAACACCTCCAAGACCAAGCAGATGGTGGTGGACTTCCGAAAAGAACAAGCCACATCCCCAACCTGTTTCCATCGAGGGGGGGGAGTCGACATGGAGGTCAAGACCTATGGGTACCTGGGGCTGCAGTTGGACGACAGGTGTGTGCTGGGGAGGAAGCAGCAAGAAGAGGGACGCAGCACGGCTGGACAGACTGGTGAGGAAGGCTGGCTCTGTGGTGGGCGCAGAGCTGGACTCTCTAGTGACAGTGGCGGAGAGAAGGACCCTGAACAGAATGCTCTCCATCATGGACAACACCCACCATCCTCTGCACAGCACCTTCACCGGGCAGAGGAGTGTGTTCAGTGGCAGACTGCTGTCACAATCCTGCTCCACAGACAGACTTAAGAACTCTTTTGTCCCCCTGGCCATGCGTGATTCTCCCCGCCACCCATCGTACTGCGCGTTCTGCCCGCTCGCCTCCTAGACTGTAAATATTACGTTAGCCTGCCTGGGAGCTGGAATCTGACGTCATTTTCCTGCGCCGTCCACTTTGCAATTTCGTTTTCGAGTTGGTTGGAATTATGATCACTTTTTAGCACGGCATGTTTGAAAACGAAAAGCCAAAGACCTTTTAGTTTTCAGTTGAATTATGTCATACAAAATGCATACAGAGCGTCTTGCCGAGAGAGTGAAAGTATAATGCAAACTGGATGACTGAATATTCATTTTAAATATAGGTCAAATAATGCACCTATAATCTGAAAATTAGAAAGTGTTTCTGTTACTGTATTTTCATTTTAAAATTAGCTTTTCATTTGAATTATGATACAAATATAGCGGGGCATTTTTTGAAAATGATAAAGCAAATGCCATTTTCTTCCTCATTTTAATTTAGTCAAAGAATGTGCATTTTTGAAGTTGAAAACTAAAATTCAAATTAGATAAATTAATCTTTTGAGTCAAATAATACACTCATATTCTGAAAATTAAAAAGCATTTCTGTTAATGCATTTGAATTTTCAAATTAGCTTTATTATCACTAATCGCTTCCATAGCAAAGGTGCAAATCTAGAATTAAATTTAAAATAAAATATGGTAAATAAAACACAGCATGCAAACAAAATATTTAAAAAAGTAAACAGTAAAAAAGGCCCTTAAATATACATATAATAGACTACAAGTTATGATAGTCCTGGTTTGGCGAGTCCTCATGGGAGTAGGGGTATTGTCTAGGTGAGTGATTGGAGGGCCTCTGTGCCATCAGCTGCTGAAACATAAAGTTCGTCTGATGCTGCCTCTGGTCCTCCAGCTCCCTCTGTCTGCATCTACAGTCCAAACACCTCCATTTCTCGTTCATGGCGTGCCTGCTCAGCCTGCATAAAGTCCTCATGTTGTTTTTCTGCAGGTTCAGAAATGCCTCCATGATGTCATCCTTGCTGATTGTCTTCCACTGACTACATCTCACAGGCCGCAGCTTGAACCCGAGGGGAGCCTGGGTGTTCTGCTGCGGTGTCGGCATCGGGTTCCTCCTCTAGCTCTCACGGCAGGGAGAGGGGAGGGATGGGAGAGCCCGCCGTTGACCCATGGATGGGGAACACAGAATCCTCAGACCTCAGTCTCACAGGTGAATAACAAGCTCCGTGTTCCGGCTTCATGCCGGCTCTGGGTGTGGAGGGCCATGCTGAGTCTGGCCTCACGTCAGGTTGCTCACAAACAGCCACATACACACTTTCGGTGATCAATTCAAAACAAAACACTTCTCCTGAAAACACTCCTATGATCAAGAAGCTTAGAATCATAGAAGCTTCATTCAGGGACCCGTTGATTTTTAGACGATAGACCCCATGGCGCTCAAATGCTAACTTACTTACAGGTTTTATGACTCATTCCTGTGTAGTCTATACATACACATATAAGAAATATGACAAACTGTGCTCTCCATGTACAAGCATTAAACATTATAAAAGATAGGGGGCGCTGATAGCCTATTAGTTAGTGCGTCCAATGTACAGAGGCTGAAGTCCTCAAAGCGGGCGGCCCAGGTTAGAATCCGACCCGTGGCTCCTTTCCTGCATGTCACTCCACTCTCTCTCTCTGACTCTGTCCTGATAAAATAAAAACCTTAAACCTCCTGAAACACTATGGACACTTTTGTCCATTTGGTCAAATGTTTCCTCTCCATCTGGCCATCATTTTGTCTGTTAGTGCAGTTGTAAGAAAGTCTCTCTCTTGACAAACTTTGGAATGAACATTTTTGTTTTTTTAATAGATCAATAGAACGCTGTGAAACATGTTTACTACCCTCTTAAGTCACTAAGGACAAAAAAGTCCACTTCCAAAAAACTGCTATAAAAATAGAACAGATTGATATTTTTTTTCTGCATACATCTCTTAAACAACTCCAGCCCTGCTCAAAACTGTCAAATGTTGAATAATTATCAGGAATTTAACCCTTTAAATGCCAGTTTGATTACATGATTCTGGCATTTAAAGGGTTAAATTCCTGATAATTATTCAATATTTGATAGTGGACATTTTTGTCCTTAGTGACTTAAAAGGGTAGTAAATTAAACTGATGCCTGAGGGTTAAAAGACATTCACTTACAGCAACAATAAGCTAATATGTACATGCCTGTATAAGAAAATAATGTTGTGGTGTAATGAAATAGACATGATAATAAATGATGTCACGATAGTTTGTGAGTTAGAGCAGTGTGCATGAAGCTGCAGTTTGATGACTAGATTAAAGTGTTACCCTGATCTCTCAGTGTATTAATTCCTGTCATGAGGCGTGTTGCTCCTTTAATCATGTTTCAGGAGAGTCTGCAACAACCCATGGAGAGGACGCCCTGGTGGTAAAAGAGGGGAAGTATATCTGAAATTATTAGAACTAATTCCATGTGTACAAACTTTTTATAAACAAATTAACTTCTGATCCAGTTCAGTCCAGAACCAGACACTTGACCTGAAGAGTGTGTGTGTGTGTTTGTGGGGGGGGGGGGGGACAGTCTGCTTTGCATTATATATATATATATATATATAGTATAATATAATATTAATACATACTTCAAATACACATCTAAAGCATCTCTTAGCATTTTGGCCCTGGTCACGGGGGGTCTGACACGTTTATGTGCTGATTAATAATTACTAGTAAATGCATGTTTTTAATCTTAATCTCCAACCAGTGACTACAGAAGCCCTAAAAGGACATTCCTCCACATATTTATGCATTTACACGTTATACGAGGCATTTGGGCTGTTTCCTCGCCGTATGGAGACCGTTATCAGGAGAAAGTCAACTTTGATATGGTGAGACAAATGAGAAGAGAATGTCTGAATGTAAGAAGATTCATCAAACTAATGAAGGATCACTGGTTTCTTAGTTCAGAATCATGAAACAACTCATTCAATCCAGACGGAGAAATCACTCCGTGCTTTTATTTTGAAACAGATTAGAGCATTTCTCACATCTAATTAAGTCATTTACTTTTCTCAGCATACAAGGATTTAAAGATACATACATATACACATATACATATATATACATATATATATACATACATATACATACATATATACATATATATATATATACATATATATATATATAGATCAATCTGAGCCAGTGGACGGGCAGAGTGCTGAGGGGCTCTGACACAGGTGAAGGTGACAGACCCTGGGACCGTGATGATGGGAGGGGTCAGTGTGATGATGGGAGGGGACAGTGTGTTGATGGGCAGGGCCAGTGTGTTGATGGGCGGGGTCAGTATGTTGATGGGCGGGGTCAGTGTGATGATGACGATGACTGTTGTTGTCGTTTCTGTGTTGTCCTTCTAACAAGGCAAATCTTCATTCAGGGAGGAAACTCATCTCTCATGTTTAGAGCTGAGCTCCATCAGACCCCTGAGTGTGTCCTCATCCGACCAGCAGGTATCAGGTCAGACCCTCCCCCATCAGAGCAGCAGGTATCTGGTCAGACCCCCATCAGAGCAGCAGGTATCTGGTCAGACCCCCCCTCGGAGCTCCTTCAGGCGCTGACAGTGTCTCAACATGCTCAGAATCCCCTGAAACCGTTTGTCCATCTTCACCTGAGTGAACTCTCTGAAGTCGTCCTCCACCACGAAGAAGTGACCTGAAACACACATGGACACCACAGTGAGGCAGCAGCCAGCAGGGGGCACTACATGTTACTTACACACTGTGTGTGCAGCATCAGATCACCTCTAGTGTCTTTGCTCTCCTGCTCCTTGAAGCGCTGCTGCAGTTTACGGGAATGATTGTTGAGACTCTTCACAGACTGATGGAGGATTTTGTACTTTGCTGTAACAGAAGTGTTGATGCTCTGCACTGCAGCGTTCAGCTGCTCGTACGACACACGTCCTCTCATGTACCTGAAACACACACACTTCATTACAAACACAGATGAGTGAACAGGAAGTGGTGTGTGAATGACAGCTGATCCTTACTGAGGGATGCTGTCAAACTCTGAGACAGTGATGAAGTCCATCTCTCTGATGAAGCTCCTGCTGCTCTTCTTCACGTGTTCCTGCTGCAGCGTCTCACTCTGCTTCATCACAGACTCACCTCCTCTGAGAGGACACAGGACAGAAGACAGAGCGTCACTGATGGACACACACACACACACTAGTGTTTAACATCAGAGCATTCACTGATACATTCAAACCAACAGGACACACACTCACACGCTCTCATGCAACAGAGAGCTGGATTGATAACATTCAGATACAGACTGATGATGAGTGAACACATCCTGTTGCTGTGTCTGGAGATCAGTGAACGAGGAAACCCTTTTGTACCTCATGCAGACATATTCACCGTGTCTTTCTGATGTTCACTGAGGACTAATCTTCCTCCAGTATGGTCACACGCTTCATGGATATTATTAACACGCTGCTATATTGGAAATATATATATATATATATATAAGTATAAAAGCCTCATGTTTCTAGAAAAGATCAACTCTCACTGTGTCGGGGCTTCTCTCTTCGGCATGTGAGCAGGTACGTTGTCCTTCATGTGACCGACGTCCTCCAGATCCTTCTGGAACGACTCCTCCAGCTCCTGAAACACACAAATACTGAACGTTGGAGGCCATGTGGAAACATGTTAGAAAAAACTCAGGCGCAGGCTCCAGGTTACCTTCAGGTCGTTGAGTCGCGCTCTCTGATTGTCGACACATTTGTCAAACTCCTCCAGAAGTGTCTGCAGGGCGAACAGCTCCTGCCCCAGCTTCTTCATCTTATTCTGAGGAAGAGCTTTAATACAAAGAGAAAACCCAACTTTACATTTGTAAATCAAGCGTTTTTCAAATAAAAAA